GAGTGGGAGAGGGAGATGCAGGTTTCCCGCTGAGCAGGGAGCCCGATGAGGGGCTCGACACCAGGACCCTGGGATCATGACCTGAGCCGAAGGCAGACGCTTAACGATTGAGCCACCCAGGCACCCCCATCAAAATCATTTTTAAAACTCAAAAGGCAGAAAGGTTTTGGCAGAGTTCCAGAATATTTTATATCCACGCAGCTGAAATAGCGCTGTGGTACCTTTCACAGCACCAGGGGGTTTGGGCAGAGGGGCTCAGCAGCAGGACTGGATGTTCAAATGGCTCAGCGAGGTGCAATATGTCAAGCAGAGAGGAAAATACCAGGATTTTGTATTCTCTGTGAAAGACTATTATATGACAGATTTGGAGTTCTGGATGGCTGTCGTAAAACTGACTAAATCTACAATGTAATATGAGTTAAGTCCAAATATTTCCTTTGCATACACTCTGTTCGATATGTCTAAATAGCGCAAACTGGGAAGGTGAGGAATGTGAGCCTAATAAAAATATCCTGAAAAAGCAGGGTAGGTCTGGGGGAAAAAATGTACACTAATCTCATTAAAAAACAAATGAAACAGAAAGCACAAATAGAGCTGAACTTACCCTGATGCCTGAAACAAAGGATTTTTTTTTTCTCCCACTCACCTCATCTAGGATGAAGCTGTATGACGTGCGCATTGTTTCACCTCCCTGTAATCACATTGTGTCAGACCGGGAGGGTTGTTGGCACACAGGAAATGCTGACAACATATTAGCTGTTATTACAATTAGTATATTATTACTATCATTGGAGAAGTGGCATTAACAATACAGCTTGACATCTGAAAATAGGAACATCACTGTTGCTTTTAATATTTATTGTTGTCCTGACTGTAATATTTGTATGACTGAATATATGTGAAAATAATATTTGCTAAAAACAAGGCCACTGTCACATAATCTACCTGAGGAGAAACTTCCCTAAGAAGGAAGGTTCTAGTGAACTGAAATGAAATTAAGTCAACAGTGTGAAGTTGTTCGTGTTTCCCAGGGAAGTAAGAAGAGAGTGAGAGAACTACGTTGAAGTTTTTTGTGAAAATAGGATACCCCCACATTAGTAGCCATAGACACCTGATTTTCTTCTCTTGTGGAGCAGAAGTAAAAATAGAGGTTATGAACCTAGATGTCAGAGCAACCTTGGACTCACTAGTCTGGGTAAAATACTAGAGATTAAGGAGGACTGGATTTCAGAAAAAGAATGAAAAGAAATCAGTGTAATGAGCTAAGAAAAGTCAATCATTGATCATTCATTCATTCATTCATTCATTCACAGATTCATTCTGAGCTGGATATTGTCTCAGGTGCTGTGCATACAGAGAGTGAGACATGGCCCTGCTGCGCGGTAGCTTGTGGGAGGCAGTCATACACACAGTAAGACATGCACCGTAAGGGAAGAGCAGAATCATGTGTAAGGAAGAGTGAGGTCTGGGGCAGGGGGAGTCAGCTCAGCCATGAGAGGAGAAGGGCTTCCCAGTGGATCAGTGTGTGACCGCCTCCTCTCCAAAAGGTCATTAGAGACTTTTAAGAATTATTTTCAAGATCACAGTTACCCCTCCATAAGCTGTTGAAAAAAAAATATTGTCCTCTTGTAACTTGCTGTCACGTTGTTTTTCTTTTGTTACTCTCAATTTCCTTAAAAATAATAGTAATGGTGGGAAGAAAAGCTGCTGCCAGGCTGTCAGCAAATAAGGGAAGGCAGCAGGCTCATTCCTGGGGTGTGCAGAACAAAGAGACGAGATGAACAGACTGGCTCAGGCTGTTTCCTAATATCTTTCTTCCCTCTCAGTCCCTGCTCCCTGATTCTGACATCTCCTTTCCCACTCTTCCCAGGTGCACCCATCCATTTTCCTAGGGACCCTGGAGAAGAGAGTGTCTGGGGTGGAAAGATCTGCTTAGCAGTCGGTTGGTAATTGATGACTGGTTGACTCCCGCTAGATACAGCCATTTTTAGAAGGAAAGTCAGGAAGAACAAAAATCTTCTAGACTCAAGAGCCTGACTATTCAGAGACAGAATGGCAAGCAGAGGTAGAGCCACTGGGCACAAATGCTAGCCCCTAACATTCTAGAAATCATCCTGCATATGTAGCTACACACTCTATACCTCCTAAGAGGCTGACTTGGTGGAGACACCTTGCAACCAGCAGACTGACCATGGTCTGCAGTAAGCATGCCCATGTGAGAACTGAGACCCAGTGTTTCTTTGGGGGAGAGAAGGAAGGAGTGCTATTTCGGGGGAACTATGTTGTGAGAAGGCAAGTTTGGCTCTCAGGACCACAGCCAAGTGCAGTGGGCTTTGAGCCTCGTTTCAAGTTACCATTGTCATGGCGGACTCCACCTTGCTGGGTCTGGTGAATTTTAAGGCACTACTAAAACAATGACCAAGTTTCTCTGAATGCAGTTCTTATTCTCATTCTTCATGAATTTAAATCACTATACTGTCTTTCCTTTTTAAAAATATACATAGATGACCTCTTTGGAATGCAGGTTTTAATTTTATTTTAGATTTTTCTCCCCCTGGTTTTTATATGTTCATTTAAATTACAGCAAATGAGAGAAAATCTCCCGAATGTTTCAGTGATTCTATAACAGCAACAACATATCTTTCACGTACTAGGGCTCATTCACATCTACCAACATGCAGAAGGCTCCCTTAAACACTTGGGTTCTGTCGTGGGATAGGTGGTAGGAAGCGACATCAGATTTCCATACTGCATCTTATTTGGAGAAATAGGAGTTTACTATTATAAGAAATTGAATTGAACATTCATTTTATTCTTAAGTTTCTCTTCTTATATTCACTTCTAAGTGAATATTTCTGGTTATATTCTCTCCCAAGTTAGTGATGCTTCCTTATGGCTTACATCTCACATCGTCTAGAATTTCAAAAACCATCAGATGGAAATGTGAATATCAGCAGAACTGCCTATACTCATTTGCTATGTCAAGAGAGAGAAGAGAGAAGTATCTGTAGACTGGGGTCTCTATATGGATGTGTCTGTAGATCTGTAAAATGAGATTTCTCTATGTGGATATTTAAAAAAAAATCTACTACAATGAGATTATTGGAAGTACACATCAGGGCCCTTTTTATCCATAAGAAGAGTAAGAACCAAACAAATATTCCATTTGAACATTTATGTCAATGGCTCCTTACCTTGGGATAGTCCTTAAGTTTAGCATTCATCAATCTTGAAATAATTATCAGGAGCTGTTTAGGGAACATATACAGCCCATTTTTTCAAAGTGATCTTCCTAATATTTCCAAACAGAAGTGAAAAACCTAACTCTATTGTATATTTCTCATAATATGAGAAATAATGAGGTATGGTATATTATATCACATAAAATAAAAGATATAAATATATTATATCTCTCATGTATTTCACAAAATCCCCCTTCCTTATTGTTAATCTGGCCCCATTTCTATATTTATGGAGTGGATACAAATTATTTTTTACATTTGAGCCCTTATGAATCCTCCAGGAATGCTCTAAGATTAGGCAAGAATTATATTTCTCTTTTTATATTTTCCATTGTTCCACTTATAACAGATAAGTGCCCTGAAGACACTAGGGGCAAGTCTGGAAGCTTCCATGCTCTTGTCAAGGGGGCAGGATGGAAATGCCATTATAGCAGTTCTATAGCTTGGTTCCATTCTGTCACCTGTCATGTGGAACCATAGTCTCCTCCACCTGCCTGCCACTCGGTTATAGGCCAAAGCAGTACATCAGTTCTCAAGTATGCACAAGCTAAGCATGGGATCTATCAAGCTGGACTGCTTGTTTCAGAACTGTTTATTTCAGCTCGAGAATTACTCAAAATATAAACATCCCGAGACAGTAATCTACACTGATCAAACCGAGCACGAATAATTCTGTTAGCACTCTAGGTTGTAAAGTGACAGCTGATGACTATTGTGAGTGGCATAATAACATTAGCCTGGCTGGAACATCTCCAGGGCTGGGCTTAAATATTCCCAAGCATTGGCCAAACAATGAGACTAAGCAAAATCTTTTGAGAGTCTTGAAATGCGATTGCTGAAAGGTCAAGTTAGCAATTTTCCTTTCCAATATTCAAAACCAGTAGTGAAAGTGGAGATGTTGATACTATATCTAGACTAGAGGCTATCAGCAAGAGACCTTTTGAAATCTCAGGCTGATAAAGTAATTTGGGGAAGTTTTTACACTTCACAAGACAGCCACATATGCCTTGGAGAAGAAATCTTAGCTGAGTACCTAAATCCCTACTCTGCCACTAACCCGTTGAGAGACACTGGACAAGTGACAGTCTCTTTGAGCTTCAGGTCCTTCATCTGTAAAATGAGAGATTTGGAAGAACAGTCTTTAATATTTCATCCAGCTCTGAAATTCTCTGATTTTATGAGAGGAAATTATAAGATAATGAGGCTGAGGTTCAACTGTCGTGTGTGGACGGCATCACATTGTTTTATGTGGCACGTTATTGACCGATCCGCTTAATGCAAGTCATGGCTACTTTCACTAGGCTGGTCAAGAAACCCTTGTCAATCTCTCTCTGTTTGCTCTAGGGTCTTGTTATGACACCTCAGAAACACTGTCTTAGACATCCTGTAAAGAAGAGAGTTAAAAACATCCTCCCACCTTATGCTTCATTAGACTGCTCCATAGGCATGCCATCACGCAACACGTTCAGACAACCAGAGCTTCTCGGAAGCATGGATGCGTTAAATAAAGGTCAGCATAGAAAATACAATTGTCCTCAACTTCCTATGGCACTATTTTACTCCCTAGTTTTTTTTTTTTTCCATAGCATTTTAAATTGACGTTAAACACAGAGCGACTTTATTAAGATAAGTATCTGATCAAGAAAAGAAGAGGTGGTTGGTTACTTGCAGAAAATTATTTGGAAGAAAGACCAAGAAGGACAAGAGGAAGGAGAGACCAAACATGTGGAGAGGAACCGATATTCAGAGGGAGCTTACGGATCAAAGGCTGCCAGCAGGAAGTTAAGCAGGAGGCTGATGGACTGCTCCACTTGGATTTGGTGAGTGGTTGGCATCCGTTTGTTGAGCTGGTAGAAAATGGTGGATAGCACAGCCTCCAAGCGGGCCACACTGAGTTCTATGTTCGGGTCCAGGTTGTTCAGAGCATTTTCCCGCAATGCTTCTATGACATTCCAAATGTCCACCAGGTGCACTACACACAATTAAAGCAGAGGGAACACATCAGCCCAAATGCAGGGACAGGTAAGTTCCTTATTTTACACGTACCATCTGTCTTGTTTTGTCAAGGCCCCTCACAGCCTTCAATATGTGTTCAACTCCTGTAGAGGTTGACATACGTAAATGTACATAGACAGTGCCTGATCTCAAAGACTTGATGTGCAATGTATAACAGCAAAAAAATTATTTCCTGAAACCACAGTAGATAGTTATTGCCAATCTTCAAAATGACCCTTGAAATACAGCTACTGTCTTTATGTTACATGTGAGAAACTGAGGACCAGGGAAGTTAACTGACAAATGCCAAGGTCCAAGGCCAGTCAATGGCAAAACTGGCATTCAAATTCATGTCTCTCTGACTTTTAAAAAATATTGAGCTATAATTGCCATATAACATCATGTAAGCGTAAGTGTAAGGTGTACAACATGTTGATTTGATACATTTCTATATTGCAATGTGATTACCACCATAGCATTAGCTAACATGTCATGTCCCATAATTATCATTTCTTTTTCTGTGGTGAGAACATTTAAGATCTAGTTTCTTAGCAACTTTGAAGTATATAGCACTTGTGATTAAAATTAACAAGTCTGTCTGGCTTGAAAGCATTTTCCCATTGTGCACACTGACCCCTTAAAAGGAAGAGAAAACCAACACTCAAATTCTAGCGTTTGAAAAGATATCAAACCTGTACTTATTTAAACTATTTTCATTCATTTATATACTTTTCGTAGTGTAAGGTTTGAAATAAAGAAGGGAAAGTTAAGGAAGGCAGGAAGAGAGGCAGGGGAAAAAGGAAAAGTAATCTCTAGAAGGCAGCAGCAGAACTTGGTCACAGATCACTTAACCTGGCCAAGAACAAACAGTGTTTTGGCTTATATTGTTGAGTAGCTCCCAAAACTTAAGTCATGGTTACTTTCACTAGGATAGTCAGGAACTTCATTTCTCTTTCTTCCCTGTTTGTGCTGAGGTCTTGTTATAATATCCCAGAAACCATCACCACAATCAAGACAGTGAACGTCTCCATCAGCCCCAAAAGTTTTCTCTGGCTCCTTTTAATTCACCCCACTCCTCACCCCAGGCAACCACAGATATACTTTCCAAGATGCTTTTCTAGAATTTTATAATGGAATTATAAAGTATGTACTCTTTTTTTTGGGGGGGGTCTGGATTCTTTTACTTGGTATAGTTATCTTGAGACTCATCCATGTTGTAGCATGCATCCATAGTTTATTACTTTACATTGTTGAACAATATACATTGTGTGGGTATATCACAATTTAGTTACCAACTCACTTGTTGATGATACTTGGGTTGTTTCAGTTTTAGGTGAGCACAAGTGAAGTTGCTATGAACAATCTTGTGCAAATATCTGTATAGACATATGCTTCCATTTCTGTTGGTAAATACTTGGAAATGAAGTGGCTAGGTTGTATGGTTGGTGTACGCTTAATTTTTGAGGAACTTCCCAAGTGTTTTCCAACATAGTTGTACTATTTGCCATCCACATCAACAGTGTATGAAAATTCCAGTTTCTCTACAACTTCACCAAAGGTTCACTTTAAGGTTCACTTTTCATGACACCTTTGCATTTGAAAACAAATCTGTTGTCTTTCTCAGTGGAATACATACTCACATTTCAGTTCCTGAGAAATGGGCACTCCATCTATGCTTTGCTACCAACTCTCAAGTTTTAGTTTCCTACCTCTTTGTTCATTTCTAACACTATATTTAAAAAACAAAACTAATATCTATTGAACTTCTGGACTTGGGAGCCCCAAAGGACACTGGACTTGAAGTCCAAAGACCTACATCCAAATATGGCCCTCCTCCTCCAAGTGCACGCCCTCTTAGCCTCAAAGACTTGGAGCTTTACTTTCCTCATCTACAAAGCAGGGATGGTGTTCCTTAAATGGGAAAACATCACGAAGTCAAAAGTGGGAATGCCTGATACACTGAGACAGTACATTACACTTGAACAAACAAACAATGTGAATCATGTAAAAAACAACAACAACAACCAAACACACAACTTTCTAGCATATCTCTGATTTGGGACAGAAGAATACAAATCACTTTCCAACTGAAATACTTAAATGTTTATTAGATTTGGATAAATTCAGATTTATGTGATTGCAAATTTATTACCTTCTCTGGAGATCACAGAACAAGGAAATTAATTGTTTCTTAATGCTATTCATTCAGTTTTTCAATTTGGCAACCAAGGTACTCCCAAGGAGATGGCATCTATAAGTTTGTTTGTTTATTTATTTATTTAATTTCTTGAGGAATTAAGTTAATTTCTGTGGGAACTGGGGTTCCTGTATTTATTTCCTTTATGCTTGATCTATAGATTCTCTGGATCTAGTCCTTTGGGGATATGTCTGGGTGCAGAATGCAAAGATGTTCCTGTCTCAGAGAACGAACAGTCAGGTGGGGATAGAGACATGATTCTCAATCACACAGATAATCAGAAATGATGACCTACCGTGACAGACAGGGTGCTAGGTACAAAATGGGATTACGAGATGGTTTGTGAAGAGGCCAGAGGAACAAGATAAGGCTGGAGAAGCACTATAGCTCTGGCAAGTCTTTTGGTCTTTATGCTGAAAGTATGAAGACTTGGGTTTTAAATAGAGTGACATGCTCAGAAATGCAGCTTAAAAATGTCATTTCAGACTCTAAGGGAAGAGAGTAATGCATATGGACAAGCGTGCATGGCGGAAGTGGCTGGAGCCTGCTGCTGTGGTCCCAGCAGAGAGGGTGGTATTTTTTTTTTTTTTTAAGATTCGTTTATTTGTTTTAGAGAAGTGGGGAGGAGAGGCAGAGGGAGAGGGACAGAGAGAACCTCTAGCAGACTCCCCACTGAGCGTGGAGCCCAACACGGCTGGATCTCGTGACCCTGAGATCATGACGTGAGACAAACCCAAGAGTCAAACGACAGAGCCACCCAGGTGCCCCGAGAAAATGATATTTTTGCAGAGGAGTGGCAGTACACAGAAAAACCGTAATCATGCACATTATCCACACCTCTCTTCCAAAAGTGGCAAAGGCAGAGTTTGTAATCACAAAGATTGAGGTTTCACTCCTGGCTCTCCTAATAACTGTAAAACTGTGGGCAAGTTATTTCTCCTCTATACATTTTATTATTTCCTTTTTAGAAATGAGGAGACGAATAATATCCAGAGAGAGTTGTAATGAGGAGAAAAGAGAAAAAGGATAGACAAGTGCTGACCACAGAGTTTGGCCCATCGGTGCTCAACAAATGATAGCTATTAGTGTCAAAATAATTAAACACCTTCTGATCTACAGCCACACTGTCCTCTTACTAATTTCCAAGATCTGTGACTCCAAACCTAAGTTTTAGCACAGTCCCCTCAAATTCAATAACCTAATTAACATATCATTTTGAGCATATACTATATAGGCAATACGAAAGAAGCTTAAACTATATCCCAGCCACAAAAGCAGATACTATTCAGTCTAACTGTCATAAATTCTGAGTTAGTGGAGTTTGAATAGATTTTGCCATATTTGATCATTAGAGACCTGGTGGGGAAGGCCCTCTTTCACAGAGACTTCTTGGAAATTTTATTTCATTGGGAACTACTCTGGGAGGTGCAGATCACAGTGCAGAACTGTGCAAGTTCCTGGACAGTAGGTTCGACCAACTTCTCCTACTGACCTTGAGCAAGTCACTTAACGTCCTTAAGTTTCAGTTTCCACATCTGTAAAATGGGGACAATAATAGTTGCGCCACAAAAACAACAAAAAACAGTTGCTCCACTGCAGGGTTATTGTGGGGATCAAATGAGATAATCCATATAAAGCACTTCACACTGTGCTTAGTGCATAAGAAGCATTTAATATCCATTAATTATTATTGAAAGGGGATCACAAGCCTTTTGCTTAATGAAATAGGAACGCTAAGAAATGTGCTAAGTTGAGAGTCATAAGGAAGCTATTAGGAAGTCTGTTTTAAAAGTCTGACAGTTGTATAAACATGTTGTTTACTCTTGAGCCATCAGATCATTTTAGAAAATGAAGACATTTAGGTTGTGCAGTGATGACTACATACCACTAGATGGCACTGTGCACACTTCACTAAATATCCATCAAGCTTTCATCATAAGCACCTGCTATTAGGCACAGGCATAGGAAGTGGGGTTTCCTCATCTACATTACTGCGTACACTTGTTACTAATATACTAGATAAAGCAACGGTTTGTATAATAAAATTAATTGGTTAACATTAACCATATCAAATATAAACATGTATTCTTAAAAGTAGTACTTAGAATCTTAAAAATAATATTAGTGTAAATTTTGGACATTAATACCTAACAGTTTGTATTCATAAATAAATGAAAGTAGACAAAGCCTCAATAGTTTGTCTTCAATCCAGGCAATCTCAGGTATTATATATATATAAGAAGTGTTCTTTGGAGCAGTGAGCGGGTCTCAAACTGTGGCCTCTGATTCCACAGGTCTGGAGTTTGGCCAGGGCATCCCCGGTTTCTGCTGCTCCTTAGGTCATCTTGAAAAGCAACGATGTTTGAGAACCACGGCTATGGAGCATGACTTAAAGAGGCGAGAGATAAGAACAGGAAATTGATGCTCATTTGAGCTAGAGGAATTTATTTAAAAGGTATCACAAGAATCCTGGGAACAAGGATTGTGGTCAAGAAAGCCACAGGCAAATTGGCCAGTTGTTAAGATTTTCTCAAATAAATAATTTATTTTTATGCCCTTATTCAGGCCTTTAATCATGACAAAACCATGTTTAAAAAGCTCTTAGGGAAGAGAAATTCAGTTAAGTGGTATGCTTTGCCAGGGTCAACAAACGCATTTTGATGTGATTACACTGAAGATATTAGCCACATTGACCAATACTGAATTGGGAAAGAAAATATTAATAAAATGCAGTTTTTGTATTTGATTTCCATTCATGAGCCATGAGCTATATCTTTCAA